TGTACATTCTTTTCCAATCCATCATATACTTACCTTTAATGAATTGGCATGAAATAATTAAAATTATGAATTCAAGTCACACCAACCTCTCATAATTTTCAGCCAAGCAATAAAGCTAAGAGTACAAGCCATGGAACTGGTGWTGGGCCTTGCTCATTGAGGTCTARCCRGACARAATCACCAGAATTAAACCAAGCATCATCAAGCAATGGTAGCAACCAAAGAGTAAGTAACTTCTAGCTAAACATGCTTTTGTTGTTGTTTTTCTTAAAAATTATAGGCAACATCATTTAGGCATTTGAATTGATAATGTTCAAATAAGAATAGACTGATTCCATAAGTCGGTCCTAGTACGCTCTTTGTCAGAGTTTTTGTCGCTCACGGGTCCATGTTAGTTTCGGGACAAACTGAAAAAACTAAGGAGCAAAAACTACTAGTATGACTTTATGGAATCAGTCTCAAATAAGAAATGTTGTTAGATGACTCAATGACATCCAGCAGATTCTTGGATGGCCAAATGACTTCTTACTCTATGCAACATCCATTAGCTTGGCTGTCAATGTTTGATGCATGAAGTTGGTTGAGATTAGAGATTTCCCTTGTGGTCAGGGCTTTAGACAAYGTTTTAGGTCTTGTCTCTAAAGTCTGATGTCAACATGATAATCATCACCGATCTGAATAAGTATATAATAATAGAATATTTTAACTGAATACATTGAGCATTAACTTTAATGCACACAGAGTCATAGTTGCTATCAAAATAATAATTGTCAATGGACATGGACATGGAATCTATAACTACAGGGAAGGCCCTTCCCTTGATGCACTCATTGTATTTTGCCTCTAATTTTCCATTAAAGTTTTAATAATTATTCCCTTATATCATTTAGCTGAATTCCAGCAGATGGTTGGAAGATTTGTTCTCTGAAAGGCGTCGCTCACCATCACCATCTCTGACAGCCAGAGGTCCCTCTGCACACAGCAGCAGTCCCCTATCTCATGGCGACAATTATGATAACCCAATCGGTGCACTAAAAGAACTGGCTGATACTCACCACTGGCCTCAGCCTACATATGAGGAGATTGATGAATACGGTGAAGACCACAAGAAAACATTTGTGTTTCAATGTATGGTAGGTACAAGTCATCTTGCTATAAATCTTCTAAGAAAACTTACTGTGACTTTTATGAACTAAATGGAYCAGATGAGATCAAAACTCCTCTGACAGAAAGTGTGTCTGTTGGAAGAGCTTTCTGTCCATCTATGAGAAAGCGTTTATACCCTGGTGCAAATCCAGGCTAGAATCCTACTAAGATCCTATAGGATCCTAGCTGACACAATTGTAACAGGGATCTTGTTAGGATCCTGTGTATAAGATACTATTCAAGATCCTACAGGATCTTGTTTAGGATCTTATTCCTACTTAGGATCTTACATAAGAATGTGATCCTAAGATCCTATTCCTATGCAGGATCCTACTCTGGATCCTAGTTATGATCCTGTTCCTACATAGGATTCTATCTAGGATCTTATTGCTATACAAGATCCTACAGGGTCCTGTCTAGGATTTGCACCAGGGTAGAAGAAAAAATACAGACTCTGCCATTATTAGCTGCCATTATTATATGAGCTGTTTACTTGCAAGAGCATCCACATGAAAAGATTCAACTGYATTCAGAAAATTCATAAATCCACTTAAGAATGATTTTTGTTTAAAAAATGTCATAAATGTGAACCAGTTCTGTCATAGCTGCAGTGTTTGTAGGGCTCCTAGCCGTCCTACCCAAAAACTGGAGGAACAAGAAGCCAAACAATTTTGATATAGAATGATTAACACATTATTCAAAAACTCATGCATAATTAATGAGCTACTAGGCCAATAGAATGAGCCTATTTGGTAACATGCATGGACCTTTATATCTGATAAAACACTCCTTATTAGTGCGATATAGAAATGAAAGAAAGTTATAGTGCTTAGAAGGAGGCAATTCCGGGAGAAGTCCCTTAGGAATAAATTCGGAAAAATTAATTTAAGACCCTTATTAGTATTCTTTATATAAAGAATACTAATAAGGATGACCTTTATCAGATATAAAGGTCCATGACCCTAGCAAAAGTCTCGGGTTTGAAACCTGATCATTGACCAATGCAGGATGTCAACCGATTTCAGTGATTCTATTTTACTTTATGCGTATTCAATGTGGGATGACAARAGTGCTTTGTAAAGTGATTCCCGCATGATCAGTTTGCCCCATTTATCTCTGAACATATTTGTACGGCAATTTCTCCAAGAATTTTAACGGATTTGAGTTTCAAATTAGTGTTGGAGTTTATGAAGCCATTTAAAACACTCTCTCGTGTTTTAAACTATACATGAGATATTATTGAGATAGGATACCACACAATATTGTATATTTATATTTATTTACAAATTAGCATCTTAAACAATACAAATTAATATAATACTTCAAAAATAATATAACTGTAAAAACATGGATGTTTATAAAAAGTATTTTGCTGAGCAAAATGAATGCATGAGTTAAAATATTTTTACAGAATTTATTTATAAACTTGGTATTATCCGAAATTTAACAATGATTTGTATCAGATAAGGTAAAAGCACTTTTTTTATGAAAATGAGAAGAATTTATAAAATTCAATCTTTATACTATGAAATATTTTACAGCACATAGAGCTACTTCTAGTTATTTCTTACTTTATGAACTCCTTTTTACTTTATTTGAATATGTTAACACTTTTTAAACAAGTGCATTAAAAGAGATTTATGAAAAACCCTTTCAAAGCTATTAGTAATATACAATGTAATACTTTTAATGTCAACTTGGCATGAATAGAAAGGATGTTGAAAACTAGTATTTGTCTGGTTGGCACTTAAATATGGACTATTATCTTACTTCAATATTTGGCTTCTAACACTGTCTGCACTGTTCTCATTAGCTGTCAAGGAAAAAGTAACTGTCAGTATAAAAGTCAGTGACTGCATAACAAAGAGTGATCCGRTAAATTACAAATGTTATTCAGGGACCAATGGGAACTTTGGAAACATATTTCACTTGCACTGAATTGAATAAGATGAATAATATGCATTGATTAGAATTGTATTAAAAGAAGCCTTGATATGCAATTCCCACCTTTCACTGTCTACAGCATCATCAGGAAATGAAGATCGAAAACAGAACTTGGAATCACATGTCAACAACTTTCAAATATTGATACAATTCTAATATATATACATCATGCTGCTAAAGGATAACTTCATATGTTTAATAATGCATTGAATTCTTGGTGTGCAACCACATGACCAGGAATCTCCTGAGAAATAAAGAACAAAGCTATTGCCGCCATGTTGGATGAATGAACAAGAGAAACTAATGCTTTGTGATTTTTATCCAACATGGTGGTGATGACGTAACTCTCACACCAAGAATTTTTCAATTAGGAGTACTCCAGCTCCTATCGCCTAATTACTCCTCGATTTGCCATTTCTATGCAATGAAAATTAGTACTGTGTACATTTTGTATCCCTATCTAGAGCTAGTACCATCTAAGTCACATTAGTTAAGATTCCCTTTTCAGGGGCCAGTTGTACAGAGAGTGAATAATCCTTATGCAGCAAATAAAATCCTGTACAAAATCTAAGGAGTGGATAACTTTAACTAGTGGATAGGTTTATGTACCCTAAATGTAGAATTGGCCCCAGAAGACAATCAGTCTGGAAGATACTATYTTGTTCATAATTGCTGCCTGTACTCTAGCAAAGCAATAACATACTTACTCAAAAGTTAACTCTTTGTAGCTTGTAAGAAYACTTTAGTACTGCAGTCTTTGCATTCAATTCTTAGCACAGAGCTTTTACCATATTGCAATCCTTTCTCATTGCAAGCCATCATAACACCTTTACATGCRTGCAGGGTTTGGAACGCATTCACCAGGCTCTGGATCTCAATATAACGATATGTGTGTCCATCCATCAATGAGCTKGAGTCCCTCTTGAGTCGCTTGTAGGGAGTAGCAATTATTGATCTKATTTTCTTAACTGTTGATACTCTTCTGCAGTCTTTATTGTGGGGCTTTTTTGGTGGTGGTGTCTGGGGCATTTCCATCAATACAATAYCATCAACATCATCATCATCTACACTAGCCTTAGTAGCGTTGCCATTATTCACAAGTTGTTTTTTGACTGGAGTATGAACCACTACKGTACATGGGATGTGCTKACTGTTGTCATTGCTCTCATTACATTCTTGCACATCAATTTCAACCTCTGATTTTTGTTTTTGRAAAGGAGTTTTGATGAGAACAGGATAAACAAGTTCCAATGGATATTCTTCTATTTCTTGAATTTCGTATTGAGACGGTTTTGATTCAGAAAATTTGTCGTCRATAAGATTAGAATTTTCAACTTTCTTTTCTGGAGTAGGAAGAGCAGAATKTTCAGAYCCAWGATTCTGTTCTTGAATTAGGTYTTCTTTTGCGGAAGAGTGAACAACAATATCAGCCGTGGTYATTTTCTTCGCTTCATGCAYCACGGGTTTCAAACTAGCGTTGTCTTCCACGTGTTTGTCTATCGTACCTGTTGTGCTCTCCTTTTGGTCAGTTTTTTTCTYCTCCACATCACAGGAAWTGMAATTCATTTCTTCCTTTGTGTTTTCTTTGCTTTCTTTATGATTTATAGTAGAATTTCCAACGCTTTCTTCGATTAAACCATTCGGTAATGCAGTGTTTTCCGGGACGCATGTTGGTGTACTTGGGTCGCCATTTTGAACCACTGGCGTTTCGTGTTCACTTTTCTTCGTCTTTGACGACCTTTTAAGCTTGAAATATTTCCCCAGTTTAGAGAATTTTGGAAGACCTCTTTTCTTTGAGCTCTTAGTCATGTTTTCTGGAGTTTAATGGACAAATTAGCTCCAATTATAGACAATACAGTTTGTACAATGTGTACGTTGAAAGCAACAGAATTGAAATTTACGCGCTTCAGTGACAAATTAGGTTTCAGTCCCTAGCCTAGAGAGTTACACAGGGTACCCATCAAAATACAGTGAAAAAGTAAAGACTCTTACTTAAAATTCTTAAAATGTTGTAAGATTCTTTAGATTTTGTCATTCGCTTCTGGCTAATTCATTTCTTGTTTTCTTGCTTTTATGATGATCTGCCTCTTTTCTAGTTCARAGATGTGCTTACGGAAGGGCGTGCATCTACAAAGAAGGCTGCAAAAAAGAAATCTGCAGAAGAAATGCTCACAAAGGTTGGACGAAATGGAACGATCATACCAAAGGTACTTATATCTTAGACCATTTACTCTTCAAATATTCAATCAATGCATTCACCGTTCATTTTTTAAGGGGTGGGGGTTGGGGGGGTGGCTGCTGGTGGTTTTGAGGGGGAGCCCAAACAGAAACCATGTTAAAAGGGAAGTATTATCCTATTTAACTTGTATATTAATTCAATACAGCATATTTCTTACGAATCACTAGAGAGTGGGGTTGTGTCAGTAAGGCTTGGTCAAGGTGGAGGATCATTTAAACGTCTATTGAACATAGGAGAAAAGTGGAAATAAAAGAAGAAATGGCGCCTCCAATCACCATCCTCTTCTTGCTTCTATTCCAAACCACCTTTATCATTTATTATTGCTAAATTTTATATTTCCCTGGGGCCAGTTAATATACAACGGATAAGCGTCCCACCAACTGATTATACCACACAAAATCCATAAGTTGATACCTTTACAAATCGTGAACATCTGTACAACTGCTTCTACTGTTTATATTTCATAGCAATTGYCTTCTTTATCGAATTCTGGTTTTCTGCCCAAGTCTCATGGAATCAGTACATCACGACTAATACAAAAAGACTTACCTACCAAACGTAGTGAGGATTACAAAAACAAGCTGACAAAACTCGCTTCAGACAGAAGATGGACAATAGAGTGGCATGATCTCGGGGAAGGATTCAAAGGAAATTCTTTGTGTTTTGTTCGAATTAAAACAGATCCTGTCACAGTATGTCCCGGATCAGGGATTACCATCAACTCAGCCTACGATGATGCAGCCAGAAATGCCTTGAAGATTTTAAAGCGGATGCAGTAGCCGGCACCCGGGGGAGGGGGGGGCTTCTGAAATAACCCCTAAAAGGGACCTGTATTGTGAGATGATGGGCGTGGCAGTGCTGAAATTTCACCCCTAAGAGGGACCAATCAATAACAGGTCATTTTGGTTTTGTTTTGGTTTTGTTTTAGCTTCAAACGCCGTCGGCTCTTATTGAGTTTATGTGACGATGAGTTTCATGTGACGATGTTGTGTTATATACAAATCGTTAGGGCCGTCGCATACCCTAAAAGGGACCACAAAACCCAGTTGGTGGGAATTCTCGTCATTATAACCCTAAGCGGGACACTGATTTCAAACCCTAAAAGGGACGACGAGGACCCCGCCCTTTTTTATTAGGGAGACGCATTCGAACATGCTTGAAATTTAACTGCAACTCGCTGCAATTTTCGGTCGCCTCGACAATCGCAGGGCTGTTTACACTTACGTTTTGAGGTGCGCAAAAACAATGTGGCGATTTTAGCGCGACAATCGCACTGCAAAAATCGCTGCGCGCGTCTTTCAACAGGCAATTAATTAATGCAGTCGTATTAGTGACTGATTTAAACGTTGTTATGTGTTGCCTTATATTTATTATATTCTTTAACAATTTTGAGAGCATGCGTACTTTTATTACAGTATTAGTCTAAGTACAGGCAGCTACATCATCCCTTCATTTTCTATGATAATTTTTGCATTTATATTTCGGAGTGTCTAAACGTCAGGCAGTCGAATTTTTTCTTAAAAACTTGTCGGGAACAACCGTAATTTCAACAAATACAACAAGGAAAATGCAATAAAGACCAAAACAATACTGTTCGACAAGTTTCAAACACAATCACAGCACTTTGAGATTTTTCGACTGCCTGACGTTTAGTCCCAGAACTAAACGTCAGGCAGTCGAATTTTTTTTTAAAAATCGTCAGAACAACAGTAATTTCAATTGATACAGCAAGAGAAATGCAATAAAGACTGAAATAATACTGTTCGTCAATTAAGTTTGTATACACAAGCAGCGGCACTTTGACATTTTCGACTGCCTGACGTTTAGTCCCAGAACTAAACGTCAGGCAGTTGAATTATTTTTTTGAAAAATCGTCGGAACAACCGTAATTTCAATTAATACAACAGGGGAAATGCAATCAAKACCGAAATAATACTGTTCGACAAGTTTCAAACACAATCACAGCACTTTGAGATTTTTCGACTGCCTGACGTTTAGTCCCAGAACTAAACGTCAGGCAGTTGAATTATTTTTTTGAAAAATCGTCAGAACAACAGTAATTTCAATTGATACAGCAAGAGAAATGCAATAAAGACTGAAATAATACTGTTCGTCAATTAAGTTTGTATACACAAGCAGCGGCACTTTGACATTTTCGACTGCCTGACGTTTAGTCCCAGAACTAAACGTCAGGCAGAAAAATACAGACATACCAGAGTTGTCGAAGTGAAATTTTCTAACCCTTTCTGTATCAGACCGTCCCCCTTCAACCATTACCACAACAATTTATCATTGTCCCAGCAGCCTATAATTAGACTGGTTTTACTCTTTCTGTTCTGATATTTCAAAGTGAAATTTATCTGAATATCATGGAATATATTTTGAACTAAAAGCTCTTCGAGCGTGAAGTCGGGCTAGCTATTTTGGAAAATTGACAAAGACAGGATATTAATTACTCCTGACTTGAAATTTTTAGCGTTTTGACGTCATCGCGTCAAGCAGTCAGAAAAAAATATCGCGGCGCGTAAATAAACAATTAGAATTTTGAACAGAAAATTAATTAATAAATAAAATAAACTAGTGATCGTAAAGCATTCTTGCTTTCATTATACATTAGAACTAAAATGGGATGGACACTTCCACTTATATTTGCGTCTGATTTTATTTATGAAATGTTAAAAGCCTAGGTCAGTGATATGAAATCGTACATTGAACTGCAGCTAGCTGTCAGAAAAAAAAAAAGTTTTGATCAGAGAAGAACGCAAGCGCAGTAGAACACTTTCTTACTGGAATATCTAATGAGCGTCACTGATTAAGATTTGGTTGCTTATAGACTTTGAGTCAGAATTTATCTATCTTTTACTGAATAAGACTTACGTCTTTATCGCTCAGATGGTACTGGTTTTAATCCATAAGGTATTGTCGTCGCTGTGAAAATCCAATTCATAGGAAAACTGAAATTCAGTAAGATTGTCAGAATTAGCTAAAACAATCACCACTCCTAATCAGGAGTTAAGATTTTTCAGGAATCCTTTAGGAAATTCAAGAACAATCAGATAACAAAGGCGAACATGGAAACTGTTAATGCTACAAAAAATATATCAGAAATAATGGGACGTACTTT